CGTTATTATTGAGGTCGCTAGGGCCGTTTTTCCCAATCACGCCGTTCCACTTTTCAGCGTCTATTCCGACCTGCGCATTAAAATCATCTGATTTTCGTCTTCATCTTATTAATCCAAAGTCTAAATTGTCTGCTCAATAACCCTGCCTCATGCAGTGTGACAAACGTACTTTGCCTTAGCAACATGGTGTCGTCAGCAAACCAAAGACGAATGAACCTTCTAGCGTTGATTGAAGATCCTCTATCCTATTTCATTTTTGGGCATATTGACTCAAGACATGTGGTAAGCAGCTTAAGCGACATGGCGTCCTCATGAGGAACTGCATCAGAAATCTTGATTTCGAGCTTATCTTTGAGCAGGTAAATCTTCATGCTGCAAAACCAGTATACATCTTGTAGAATTTGGATGTCATCATCATCTTCCATCCATTTTGGAATGAAGTTCTCTCCAAGACTTCGCCATAAACTTATGTTTTCTGCCGTTTTTAATGGAGAATGTCATTTGTAATTTGAATGTATTCTTCTTCTAGTCTTAGTTCTCCCAAAGTTTGGAAGATCGCTTAATGTTCGCCATATTGAATCCCCCTTCATGGTAGACGAAGATCATGTAGACAGACATTCTGCATTTTAACTGACTCAATACTTTGAAATGGTCGAGTATCGAAAAGTTTCAGCGAAATTCAACCTCATCAATCGGATGTTTCTCTCCAATTGTAGCTTAAACAATTTAACTGAATGAGCTTATGTGAATAGCGCATAGCCTGAGATCAGACACGTATCTGTCAGTAGTTTTTGAAGCCTTCTCGGTAACCCACTTGTAGGAGGAAAATCCTCCTCCTGTTCGTGAGGATTTTCAATCTTTTGGAGTTCGACCTTGTCAGAAATACATGAGAAATGAGATACATGTCGCGAGAACTAGTTAACTTGTGTCGGTCGTGCTTCAAAGTATCCGTTAGAATATAATTTGTGCCGACACCTTTGTCACCGTTCAACTGAGACCAATTCGCAGAAGCTTCAGTTGGCAGAATTTCAGGCACTGCATGGACCATTTTATGTGTACGATCAACAACAATATTAACGTATATTAAAATTACTTTCACATACTAAATCGGAAAATCGGTGTTTCATTACTTGGCTGAAATATGACGTGTAAAGTATAAATTAAATTTATAAATTAAATTTTCAGTCTTTGTTCATGTCACCCCTGAAGCTAAGTTTGCCTGAGGTTCTGCGTTCCACGGCGAAGAGTTCCACTGCGAGACTGGTGTCGATTGTTTGACTTTGACGGTAGCCAAATGACCGTCGTGTACGAAATGCAACGAATTTTCGTTGGCTGCTTTTTCTCATGATGCGCGTAGCAGCTTGTAAATAGGTTTCGGAAATGCGGTTGAGGACGCCAACTCAACTCCCAGCGGTTGAGAGGAACGGCGACCGTTTGTTGTCATCCGACGACAGACAGATTTCGTTGGCAAATCGACGTCAGCCGAGGCGAACGACAGGCGCAAAACGCGGCCTCACTTCATCTTCGAAATTGGTGTTCGAAATTAACTCTTCTTCCGGTACGTGTCCACTTAAATGGCCAATTAACGACGTCGTCGACGGCTTCCAGTGACGCAATGGTGGACATTTTTCCTTCACAACTCAGAAAAACCATCCACATCTTATGTGGCGTCTCGACTGACGTCTGGTGACGTTTGAAACGATGATGGTGCCAACAAATGGACAGCACATTCTTTGACTCGCTTCTTAGCGATCGACTGCGAGCGGCTAGCGATGACGAAGGACAGGACAAATTTAGCCACGCAACGCTGATTCGCGTAGCCATCTGTAGGGCACTACGGTAGGCGTCAAATTTTGGCTTCCATCTGATCAGCGTGCTCGGAGTTTCTCATTTTAAGGAGACTCTCTGAAAATCTATTTCTCGCACAAGTAAGTGTGAACGTCGGTCATTTAAAACCAGCAAAAACTGAACAATATAGTCTACAGTCCAGCTCTGTGATGTCTGGCTATTTGAATGTCTGAGATTTTAATCGGTAAAACGTAAAACATGCTTTCAGTTCGACAGCACAACAGCACTGCTCTAAGTGTCATATTGAGGAATCAACTCAGCATGTCTGAAATTCTTGTCTTAGTGAAAGCCTTGCAGCGAAAATGGCGTTAACCAAAAACTGCTTCATCTTTTCGACCAGAGTTGCAAAATGCCATTGCTACTCTGCATGGTCCTGACATACCTCAGTAGACTCATGCTTTAAGGTATAGATTTCATATAGCTTCTGTTCAGATTCCTTTCCAACCAGAATGGCCTACTATGACCATTAAAGATCCATTATGACAGGCTGCTACCTTCGTCGCTGATTGTTGAATGTTACTCCAGAATTGACGCCGCGAGGAACTACTTCAAGCTAACTCGATGTAAAACAGCGGCTTTTTTGAAAATTTGAGTAAAATTTTACTGTATAATCCTACGGAGATCAGGAGAAGTAATTTTAGTGGTTATAGTGGTTACGAATTTTCCTTTGTCCCCCATGACATCGTTAAACTAAAACTCGTCATGAGTTTCTTCGCCTGAGCCTCTTGTGATTTAGAAAGGAAGCAAATAACGAATACGAGTCAAGGTTAAGTGAGGTTGAGTTCAATATAAGGTGAACTATATTTGACACTTACTCCGGGATAATCGGTCTTTGCGACAATCGACACTGTTGCATACGTTTTTCGGTAACCCTCATATATGGCTTTTATAATTATTAATAATCATTCTCCAGCAAATTTGCAGATAGTGCAACTTTCAGGTATTGACTTTAGTCGGCACAGAACTTAAACTGATTAAAAATTAGGAAGGTGGACAACTTTGGTTAGTTGTAGCAAAATAAGGTTCGATCAATACTTATCGTGTGTTGACAACTCTTTTACCAACTATGGAACTCTTAGTTGAAGTCACAACCGAATTTCAGCCCCTTTATCCCCTTGAAATAGAAGACCGACACTTATTCTGAATTCTGAACTCGTTGTTGAAATTGCACACTGTTTGCCCACTCATGGTTGTAGAAGAATAGAACATGCCAGAAGCAACGAAAAGTCCCTGCTGCAGTCATTATTAAGGCACAACTTCCGGATGATATCATAATGGAGGTGTGTGCCACAACGTCAGCTCTATTTATTGCAAAGTGCCTTATTTATGGCATCCACAACAGAAACGCGAAAATGTCTTATATCGAGAAGTTATCTCAACAGTTTTCATTTATTGCATTGCAAGGGGTAGCCGTCCAGCAGAATGTGCATATAACTTTTCACTTACGAAGAATTTTTTGACATAGCTCATTGATGATTTAGCTTCGTATATGGCTGCTAAACTTAATCTATCCAATGTTAAAAACCTGATTGATAAATCAGGTATGTGCTGGGACCGTAAAACGATGTTTCTTCAACAAATTTTCTGTTTTTTGAACCTTCTTGAAGACGGTTCGCTGTTGTGGAAATCGACCTTTCTGAGGAGGAATTGCTTGGTGAACTCCTCAGCCGAGAATGGCAATGCCCTATGGCCATCGTACTCTGCAGATGCTCTAACAACCTGCTGAAAAGGCGCCTTAGACATTCAGAAGTAGAGAGATGGTGTGATGAAGCCGTGATCATCTCGCGAAAGGATATTATATTACACTCGTCCCATCAGACACATCGTAAACTTGTGTTATTGGCAGTCGCTCTGGAACAGAGGCTCATTAGTAGTATATTTCGACCTTATTTCCTCTTGACTTGATATAATACAGTAATAACATAAGATGTTCGTTCTCTCGAGTATGCCAAAAAACGAATAACTCTTCTAAGACCAGATTTCACGACGTATTGCTCCGCTGCCTTGCCTTTAGTAGCTTAGGGAACTACTAAGGCAGGCAACAGCTTTATGCGATTTCAGCCCCAATAGTACCCGATACGTCTCGCATAATTTTTCTGTTAGAACTACCTCGCATTCAACGCACAACGATGCTTCAGGACCTGATACCCTGTATATTGCAACATGGGCATCAAAGTTATGTCACATAATTTTCCAGAAGTATAAATGCAATGTTTTTGGTCTGCATACCACGGAATTAATTGGATTGCCCTAAGCTCAAGGTGAAGAAATCACGCCTGATCTTCAGAATTGCCTTACAAACTTTGAAAACATCAGTAATAACTGATCATCCAGTCAGACTAACTCAGCGAAACTTCAAAA